CCGGAGCCCCCTCCCCGCGCTGGTGCAGTGCCCGGGACACGGCGCTTTCCTGCAGAGGCGGCAGCGACACAGCAGTGACTCCCTCCCTTCCCCTCCCCTCCGCGACCTGCGGACTCCGGAGGCCGAGGGAGCAGCGGGAGCCTCAGAGTCCTCCGTCCCCGGCCACGCAGACCGGCCTGGGAACCCCCTTTCCGGCTCCCAGATTAGCTCCGCTCTGGCATCTGCCGGGTCGCGACACTGATTGAAATTCAAACTGGCCCCGGTCACTGAATCGGGCCCGGACTGGGAGAGGAGGAGTGCTGGGAGCGGCTTGGCCCTCAGGAAGGGACCCCGGAGTCCGAGGGTCCCCGGGCGAGGCTGTCCCAGAGGACTTCCCTGTCCTCCGCTGCTCCTCTCCTTCCCGCCGCCTGGAGCCGACGGCTGAGCCGGCACTGGCCAGCCCTAGGAAGTGGAATTACCTAAGCTTCTTCTCCAGGGGTTAACCTGCAAAGAGGGGTGAAAAACTAGGCAGAAGCTCCATCAGGTCCTCAGGGTGGGGTTATGGACCTGAAACCAGACCCCACAGCCTACAGAGGGAAAACCAGCAAACGGGGCTGGGGAGTTTAACATTTGGCTTCTGAATGGTTAAAGCTATCACTTCCTTCTGGCCCTAAACCCCGGGTAGAGTCTCACGCACTCAGCCCAGAAACAGCTTTGGAAGAGAATGGGTGGGTTTCAGCACAGGAGGAACCCCAAGTTCTCCTGAGTAGGGGTCCCTGACTGGAGCAGGGCCTGAGAGACTCGCGCTTGGGCATGCAAGGGAGAGTAGATGGGAATGCAAGCTGTAGACAGCAGAAGTTATCCAGGGTCCCTGGGCAAAGTTGGGCGCTTTTATTTGGTAATTGCTGGGGATCATTCTTGCCTGTTCATCCCTCCACCTAACTGTCCCAGACCAGGGGCACCTGCCTTGCTGGTCCCCTATCCCTCCCGTCCACCGACCCGCTCTGAGTTCTCTCTGCCATTTGGGGAGCTCTTTGCAGGTTTTCTCTGGACTCCTGTGGCCTATGCCTGGCCTAGTTCTGACCTGGGCAGCAGCTGGGAGGCTAGATCAGAAACATCAGGGGGCTACAGAGACCGGGGTGATAAGTGTGTCTTTCTTTCTCTTCTCTTCCTCCTCTTATGCACGGCCTCCCTCTCTACCAGCACTGGAAAGTCCTGTTTGATCAGGTATGTGAGCAGTTAAATCCTCCCCCCTCTTCCTTCCAGCCCTCCCTGAAATGAGTCTCAGTCTCCCTGCTTGCGTGGGCTTCCCCAGATCTGCGCTCCTGAGATGGTGACGCGTCGGGGAGGTGGGGCTTACTGCATCCCGACTGAACAACTCTGCTCTCCAGGTAGCAGGAGGAGGCCGGGGGTGGGCTCCCCTGAGAGAATCCCCGCCCCCCGTCTTCCCTCCTCCCGCTGCACCAGAGCCGGGCTGATACCTTGTAGGAATTGGGCAATAAGTGTTGAATGCCTGAGAAGTTTCCTAGCATATATGCAAAGGGATTGCAGTGGGAGGCTGGGGAGGTGGGGGAAGGGCTTGAGTTAACCACCCGCTGGCTCCCTTTCTCCCTCTACCATAAAAGGTTCACGGCCACCACTGAAGTACAATCTCTGCTGTCCTTGGGGGGTGACTCACAGTATGGGCGCTTTTGAAAGCTGATTTTGTTTCTTTACTTCTGCAACAGGGATGGGGAGTGCTGGGAGATTACATTTGGGAAACAATGTGATTTGCAAGGATCCAGTCTAGTGGGGAGTGGATTGGGAGGGCCAAGGATTGGTTTATGAATTGGAAGATGGACATTTGACCTTCTGGAAGGAAGTGGTTCTCTGCTTGGCACTCAGGTGCCATTGTGTTTCCTTTACTCTCTTTGTCCCACGTGCAGGGGAGGAGGCAGATGTCTTGGTGTTGGCGGGTAGTTCTGGTGTGAGAATTGTTGTGATCTGAAGTTTGTGAAACTTCAATAGATCCATATGTTTGGACCAGAGGAAATGTGTTGACTTAAGAGAGGGAAATAAAGCTGAGAAAGCAGCTTGAGCCAGACTCTCGTTCTAGGCAGGGGAAGCCTTTGAAAGTTTTTAAGCAGGATTGCTTTGGGCTCCAAGCAGTGTTGGAAAGATCTCGTGCTGAAGTGGGAAAGAAGTGAGTTGGATTTCAAGCAAGAGAGAAACTAGCCTGAGGCCACTGCCATGAACGGAGACAGTGCCTTTAGTACCTGAGATAATCAACTTATAAAATGTTCATTTTGGTTTTTGTTTTGTTTTTCGGTACTGGGGATCAAACTTGGGACCCTGCACTTTTGAGGCAGGCTGCAGCCCCACTGAGCTAAATCCCTGGCCCTGAAGCATTACTTTTGGCTCATGGTTTTGGAGCATTACATGATTGGTTGGCCCTGTTCTTTTGGGCCTGTGGCAAGGCAGCATGGTCAAGACAGAAGCACAGAGTGGAGCAAGAGCCACTCACCAAGCCAGGTATGGTGAGATTCACCTGTAATTCCAGCAGTCTGGGAGGCTGAGGCAGGACGATCACAAGTTCAGCCTGGGCAATTTAGTGAGACTCCATCTCAAGATTTAAAATTTGGCAAAAGTGCTGGGGGAGATAGCTTATTGTGAACGCCCTGGGTTCAATCCCTAGTACTGCAGACAACAGCAACAACAAAAACCCATTTACCTCATAACCTTGGAGCAGAGAGAGGGACAGAAAGAGAGCTGGGTCACATGATGAGGCCCCATCCTTCAAGTTTCCACTGCCTCCCAGTAGCTCCAGACCAGGAGACCAAGCTTTAACACATCAGCCTTTGGGGTACACTTATCTGAACCATAATGTACCTCAATGTAGATAGTGACAGTGAGGATGGAAAAAAGAGGGATGTGGTGATTAGGGAATGAGACCTCAAAGGCCTGGAGTATACTAATTAAGATTCTGAACTTGAGAGGAAAAGGGCGAGGGTAGGCAAAAATGACAACTTTGGTTCAGCAAATTCAGTTTGAGGGGCGAGCTAAATACAGGTGCTGGTGTGGGGCTGAGGATCACAGGGTAAAAGACATGGAGTGCACAGGGTGAGCATTTGGGGCTGTCTTCCCCTTTTCCCACAAAGCCTGGCTGTGGATGGAGCACCCACCTGCTCCTGTCCCGAAGAGATACGGCATCTCCCTCTTGGCCCTCTTGAGTGCCACCCCCTCTCCCCCTCTGGCCCCTAAAAGTGAAGCAGCTGCTGGCCTGACGCCCCAAACAGCTACCACCAAGCTGCCAGCCCTTCACACCTCCTGCTGGATTTAGACGTAGAACCTAGAACAAAGTGTATCTAGCTTTTCTCTCTGTGTCTTTCATGTTGGGTTAATTTCCTTTGCCAGTTCCTCTCTGTGTGTTTACATTTTAAGACAAACCATTTGGACGAATGGAGGAGAAACTTCAGTGGGAAGAATTTGGAACTTGAGGGAGCAGAGAGAATGGGCAACACCCAAAAATTAGCCGATGGTCCCTTTAATCCAGTTTCTGCTATTGGAGAGAGACCCTGGGTGTCACAGGGAGTACCCCCTTGCTCCTGGGGAGGTCCATCGGAACTTCCTCTGGACAGATAGAACAGTATGTTCAGCCTGATATCTGCTCCCTATCCCTCACAAGGCATCGGAAGCCTGTTTCTTCCTCCCAGGTGGTGCTGTTTAAGGAGAGCTGCCCTGTGCGTTTATTGTCCGTATAGTGAGTGTTGGCCATCTCTCGGTCATTCCCCTGACGGGGCTAAAGGAAGAGCAGATGTTAAGCTTCTCAGACACTTGGCCTCAGAAGGATGGCACATTGTTCAGAAAGCAGATGGGTCCCGTGTTTCTTGCTTGTGTCTCTGGCCTGGCTAATGGTAGGACTCAGACTCGGTGAACGTGGTGCACCTGGGTTGCCCACATCCCCTGCCCCAGCCCCCTTTCCAGCAGAAGTAATCGGGATACGTCCAGTGGCGGTAAGCAGGACACTGACACCTGTCAGAGTCCCTGCAGGCCAGTGTGGCTCCTGAGTCCGCCTTCCGGAAGTCAGAGCCAGTCAAGCATACCCTCCCTCTCTCCCTCTCTTCAAGGGGTACCAGTGGTCACCCAGTTTCCAGTGGGTCTTCTAGGGTCTGATTCCCAAGTGGTAGGGATAGAATCGGACCAATGCCTGTATGCTGTGTGGTTCCTTAGCATGTGGAGCAGCCTTGACCCAGCATGAAGCTAACTGGGCCCCAAGGGCTGGGAGCCACAGTGCTTGCTGGGGTCCCTTTCCGCCGAATGACCAGGATGCCTTTTGTGGGAATTAAAGGTGAAGAAAGCAGGTGACCCCACCCCTCAGAAGCTTCCCTGGTCTCCCTGTCATTCTGACGTTTGGCCTGCTCAAGCAGGATGTACAGCAGGACCCATGCACCCCACCTCCTCTTCCCTGCTGTCCTGGGTCTTCTCCAGAGTGGTCATCTGAGGGTCAGCATTTCATTTCCCAGATGTTCCATGCGTTTGTTTCCTACTTAAGGCAAGTGTCTTTTCCTATCTGTGGGATTGTTGATGATTTCTCAAAAATATTTAAGTAGAATTTAAAGTCACCATAAATAATCTGTTGTTGTAGTACATCATGGTAAAAAAATTTTTCTGTTGTTGAATCAATTTTTTATTTCGTGATACCTTCCATTGTTTCAAACCTGAGACTGTTTACATCTCTCTGCAAATCTTATAATTATGCTGCTCTTATTTTCTACTAGTTTTTTGATTATTTAAAAGCAATCATAAGGGCTGGGGATTTAGCTCAGTGGTTTCTCTGCCTGCCTCGAAAGCGCCAGGTCCCGAGTTCGATCACTGGTACCAAAATAAATAAATAAAATAAAAAATAAAAAACAATCACAAAACCAAGCATGATGGTACTATAATCCTAGTACTCAGGAGGATCACTGAGAGTTTGAGGCCAGCCTGGGCTGCATAGTGAGATCAAGGCCAGCCTGAACTACAAAATGGTTACCCTAGCTTCTTGGGAGGTTTAAGCAGGAGGATCAAGAGTTCCAGACTATCCTGTCTCAAAAATATATAAATAAGACTGTCTCAAAAATACATATATAAATAATAACAACAAATCACATAACCCTTTACTCCACTACTGTCTAGTTACTCCTGTCTAGTTATATCAGTATCACTTTCTTAAGCCAGGCCTGTAGGCATACATCGGTAATCCCAGGTGGCTGCGGCAGGAGGATTGCAAGTTTGAGCTCAACCTGGGCAACATAGTAAGAACCTGTCTCAAAATTTTAAAAAAATCAAAAAAACTAGGGATGTAGCTCAGTGTGAAGGCCCTGGCTCAATCCCTAGTAGTGGGTGGATGGGTGGATGGGTGGATGGGTAGGTAGGTGGGGCAGACCAAACCTACTTTATATGTGGTTTGAGAAATGGTATAAATATTGATAAATTTTTCTACCAAAAATTTGGTTGGGCTTATTTCTGATCTATGCTGCTGATGTTTATAATTTTATATAAGAAATGTGCCCTTTAGTTATTGCTTTATATATTTTCCAGAGCTTTCTGAAAAGTTCCTCTTTTTCAGGTTATGTTTTCATCCCTTTCTGAATTCCAAGGAGGTTTGCCCTAAGATCTAATGTTTTGCCCAAGGTGTAATGGTTGACCAGTTGGTGGATGAGGAGTCAAAGCCCACAAAATGTTTTCTGGGTTGAAAAAGGCAGGTTCACTATTACAAAAGCCTCCAAGATCTCTGCATGTTATGGTTTGGAGCAGAATTCTGTTACTTCAACAAAGCACAATTGCTTTTGAGCTCAGAAGAGCAAGGAGGAGGGCTGGGAATTTAGCTCAGTGGTTCTGCTGTTTGCCTTGCAAGCACAAGGACCTGAGTTCAATGCCATCCCTGATACCCAAAAAAAGACAGACAGAGAGAGAGAGAGAGAGCAAGGAGTAAGGTAGAATTGGAAATCACTTGATTATGGCTCCCTTCTCCCCTTGCCAACTGGGAACATACACTTCTAAGACCACAAAAAGAAACCCCACTTTTGCTCATATCTGCAGTGGACAAGTGTGAACTGCCCCAGTGAAGTTACACAGGTGTGCTACAAACACCACAGGGAAGCCTAGGTGGGCTATTCAGGGAAGACCCTTCAATTCCTAGACAGATAGGCCTGTGGACGACTTTGACAATCATATAATCTCCCTGAGCCTTTGTTGCTTCCTCTATG